TGCCTTACCTACTTGGTCATCACCGGAGTTAACAAGAACTGCGAAGTTATCAAGTATCTGAGGCACTTCGTGAAACACCCTCTAATTCATCCGGTTCGCATGTGCACTGTTGACCTGGAGAAAGCCCATGGTCGTGTCCTGCCAGTAAGCTACAATCGTGTCTGCAAATATATGGGATTGATGACCAGTTGATACAAGCCATCCAATCACTACTTGTTGATTGCAGGTACTGCTTCGGAGCAAACGAAGTCGAGCAGAAACCTTTCAGTGTTGGAAGTGGTCTGTGTCAAGTTCTCGCTGCGTTCTCTAACCTCTCATATTTGTGAATTACACGGATAAGAGAGTCACTGGAATGACGAGCGAAAACGATGTGGAAACGTGATGGCTGCTGCTTGCAGACGACCTTGTTCTGTTGCCATCTTCTGAGCCGGTTTTACTGTTCTCTCTGGAAAAGTTTGCGGCCAAGTGCCACGTGGCTGACACGCGTGTGAACGTATCAACGTGGCTGACACGCGTGTGAACGTATCAGTGTATTCTCCTTCTTATATTTGCTGTGCGCTTCAGATTAGCGGAAAAGCAGTGGAGCAGGTGGGAAAGTTCAAGAACCTCTGGTCTTGTTTGCTGGTGATCGAAAATTGGAGGAACTGGTCATCCCACGAATTCTGATGACCAGCGACTTTCGACGTAAACCGTTGTGGTTAAAGCAGATGTGATACTGTAGACCGAGCTCTGCGTGTTCAAGTCGATCTTTATCCACTTGCTTACATACGGTCATGAGTCATGGACGATGACTGAAAAGCTTCGAACCTGGGTACAGGCTGCTGAACCACTCTTCTCACGCCTCGACATGGTTCGATGGGCCCATGAACCTTGATATACAGCCGATACCTCTCGAGACTGAAAAGTTCGAGCTGCGAAGGATAGAGGACGTCTTGTGATCGCTTTCAAAAGGAAAGGAGAGGCAGCAGGCACCACTTGTCAAACCAACTTTCTGAAGACTCAGGGGGGATGGTCAAGATAACCTAAAACAAGTGACTTAAAGGACTTTGCTTCAAACTCGGCTTATCTTCTCCCGAAGCTCAAATATAGACACAGGATCAGGAATGTTGGAGGTACTGTCTTACGCCTTTGCCTCCTGAACCTGAGAAGATAAGCGGTAATCAAAACTATCTCAATGACTGACAGTCCATGAAACGGTTGCTACTCGAACGTTCTTCATGTCCTGATCGTCGTATAATGTATAACAGAATTGCGATTTGTAGGAGAGATGAACCTGTTATGACAAATAAGGTATGTATCAGCAAACCAGTAAGAGAATTTTGCTCCCTGTTGTGATGGGAAGGTAACAAGAGCTCTATGCTAGCGTGGCGAGTTAACCTTCTCAGTGTGCAACCTAATAGTTATAAACTGAAAGATCAAGTCACTCTGTGAGAAAGCGCAGTAGATACCAGCTACACACAATTGGAATCTCTTCAGATAAATGCCAAAGCTTTGACTTGAAGTGTTATTAAACAGCTGTCGACCTAACGATTTGTTCTCCAGCAAGCTTGATCACGATAGTGAGCCAGAAAAGGTCAAAAAGTCATGCGAATCTACTATATCAATCAACTATATTGATTGGGGCTTTCAAACAACCTGTTGAAAAAGGCACTGAGGAACTCTACAGTAGTGGCCTAAAGTTTCATCTGTGTGAAAAGCGAACTGCTACCCAATCGTAAACATTTTTTAGAGCATAAAGTAAGAACTGAATTCTGTTGTCCCCCATAAACATGGGCATAGCTTAAGCTGAGTCTTGGAATCCATGATCAAATCCATGGAAATCAATAGGGTTCATGTACACAAACGCCTTAGCATGTTGTTGACTGCTCATCACTTTTCGAGCACATTTTTGTTAACTACAGCATAATGAGCAAGTTCGCTGGGATATAATGTTAGAAATTTAAATTTATACTTTGTACGAGTTTTAATCTGTTATCAGGTGGGTGATAGCGAATTGCAGTCATAAAGCGTACGTATCGGACAGCATGGCTATATTAACTGTATGTTTTGAATGACCGCACCAACTACCATACTGTACCTATTACTCGCTCATTAATGGCCTCCTGCTCGTTTTCCTGCCGGTTGCACTGAAGCACCGCGGAGGTGAATTCCTTACTGAAAGGAACCAGCAGTTAATAAGAAGAAATTCTTGCCGCATATGCGAATTGACCCTCTTCTATAGCGTGTCGAAAAACCTGTTAATCAAGTGCCTCACTATTTCTTACTAACGCATATAAGGAGATCTAGCTTTTGAAACATCGTTCGTGATGAGTATCAGATGACTGTAGCGAACCATGTGATGTGAGGTGCATTTGACGCAGCAAGGGCTTAAATACCATGGAGACGTGCCCTGCTAAAATGGTTTCCATAAGCAAGTACGAGCTGTGGTGCAATCCGCTGTGAGATCCTTGTCTTGCAGTTATGCGTCATTTAATAGAGCAAGTTCGTTGATCGAATGCCCCTTTTACTTTACATCACCTTGTTTTTTAATTTCTGCTTCACACACCATTTCTGAGTTACTGCTGGACACAGCTTTCTGGTAATCTAGGTCTGCAGTTCAAGTTGCTCAAGAAATAATTGTTCGCGTTGTGGTCTGTTGCCTGAAGGGCAAAAGATGGGCGCATTTATTGTTGTATTCCAATTTTTGTACAAATATGAAACTTATGAACGGCCACAGCACGGCAAAAATGGAATCTATTTCAAATGCAGCCTGCTGTATAGCAAGTAAACAGTATAAGTATCTCATTTCCCTCATAAAATGATGATATAGTGCGTCGGTAAAAACGACGCAATTCCGTCGAATTTTCATCATTTGACTCTCCACATATAAAAATGTTATTCAACAAACGCCTTAGCACCACCTGTCTGCTTTGCTTCTTAACGGCATTCTCTGTTCCGAGGGAAGACCCAATAGCACAGCAGTTTCTCACCTAGGAATAATAGGAAATTGATTAAATCTTAATATATTCGTTGTGGAGCATAGACATGATGCCTTTCCTCTTATCGGACTTGCGTTCAAGGAATATGAAGCCCTATCAACCAGATTAGTAGAATTTCGGAAGTAAACCGATTAGCGGCTCATATTAGCCCCCCCCCCAACACTACTGCAGTTGTTTAGTACTTTATATGTAGGGCATTTCCAGTTATTTATGTGATCTAATTATCAGTATAAATAATGAACAGTTTATTAAACAATGTTTCAGCTTAAGTCATAGAAAGCAATACGCGATTCTGAAAATCTGGAACCGAAACGTTGAGATAGGCAGTAGGTTTCTTGCTTTCATGCGAAACAACAAAATATATATCACGAAGAACACTCGCCTGGGCATTTTGATGCCGACGACGCCGCTCATGACCGGTCCAGAATTGATTCCCACACGAACCTGCAGTTTTCTATTTGGTCTATGAGGTATAACGAAGCTGTTGACTCCCTTCACCAGGTCAATTGCCAATCGCGTGATTTGTTCGACATGCCGATCTCCATTGCGTCTAGGCAGCCCACTAACGCACATATAGGCATCGCCTGAAGTAACCAGCATATTAAAGTCATTTCACGCTTGACGGGCCGCAGAGACGAGAGCACTAGTTGATCACGTTCACCCAGTCATTGGGTTTTGGGGCTCTAAGTAATCGTTTCGCAGCTAAATGAGTTTTGCATGGAGGCCAACGAGGAAAGTATAATCATTGTGTTCTGGTGAAGTCGAACACATTAACTGAGTTAAGGGCCTGGCTAAATAGCTGTTCACCAGTGTAGCCCAATGAGCCTTCCAAAATTTAGGGAGGCAACTTTCTAAGCGTTAAGAGATGCCTAGTCCTCGTGCAGGAGTGGAATCAGTCGCGCAATATGCTGCCACTAAACTCGTGATAAACAACTAACGCTTGTTCTGATAACGTCAATCGTGGGTGCCATAATGGGGCAACGTAGCTTTCGCAGGAATTTGAGGAGGGAAGCGCATGCCCTCAACGGAAAGAAAGGTAAGTGACGTTGGTAAAGGTTTCGATCTCTAATCTTTGCCCAATCAGTTCAGCTTAGAAGCGGTCAGAAATCCGTTGTGCAGAACATGAGCCGTTTCTGATTCAAGGAAAGATGCTTGGTGGCGGTTGTACTTAATGAGTACAAAACTGCATTCAGTCCATAACCTTGCGATATAATCCGTGAAACATATATTACAACTATTGTATGTTGCACAACATCGCTTCTCATTCAGCCCAAAGAATTTTACAGAAGAAGAATCACTGAGGTTTACGCGGTTTCGAGGTTTCTGGAAATCAGGCTGTGGAGCACTGCATACAAATGCGTAGGAAATTTATATGGGATTAGTTTTCACTCAAGATATCAATGTATCTTACATGGATCATAATCCAGAAACCAATTCGAGGATTGTCACCGCATGGTGATAATAACTATGCTAAAGTGCGCTGTCACGAAACTGGAATCGTATAGCTAATTATATACAATTAACCTTGTATGACCAAGGACACAAAATACCTCACTGTTCGAGTTGACGATAAGCCTGAATTAAAATGAATAGAGATCAGAGAAAGGCTCATGCCAGACTTTGTGCCAGTCCTCTAGGAACGTCTCAACGACCCTGAATTTATGGTAAAATACCGATTGTTTCCACTTTGTAGACATCATAGCGTTCAATGTGCGTATCAAACATGGTGTACAGAGCGTTTAGCATGTTCACCACTTCAAGGGCAGTTGATTCTGAGCAGAGGTTAGTGAAAGACACGATGTCCGAGAAGTAGATGGTGACGGACTGGTAAAATTCAGGTTCAACTTTTTGACCGTTTTGAAGCTTTGTCGCCACGTCTTTTGGCAACATGCTGTTCAAGAGCATTTCCATTTTGGCCGTGACCGTCTTTAGCTCCTTCGTCCGTTCCTCGACCTGAAAACGGCACTGTACGTGAAACGGTATGATGAACAGCTAAAATCAACCTTCTCCTCAAGACTGCTCATGTAGTCTTCCATCGTTTTGAGAAGAATGTCCACTATACCTTTGGTACTTGGCTGATTGAGTTGCAACGTAATGATTGCACCATCGAACGTTATTTGTGGATTAGGAGCAGTCATCCTTGTCACCAGTTCTTTGATAGGACCCGGGATGTCAGGGGAAATGCCCCTGAGATGTGGATTTTTTGTCAGTTCGTCAAGCATGCTGCGCCAACCAATAACCGAGCTTCTACCGCTGAACGGAAGCTCCCGTGTAAATACCTCCACCAATACCATTGCATAACTGAAAATGTCATGCTTTACGCTGATGGTCTGCTCTCGACCGGTCAGCAGATTCGGGTGTCTGAACATCAGGCGCTTAATGTGGTAGTCATCTTTCACTTTGTCAATCATTTGAGGTCCGTATATCAGTTGTGCCAGTTCGTTCTCTGCCTCACCCACGTAACAGTGACTCCAGCAGCTTATCTTAGCCGTCCAGTTTTTGTCCAAGAAAATGTTCCATGTGTCCAGGAAGCCGTGAACAATGTCATGCTTCTGAAGATATTGCATTCCATAAGCAACGTCTAAGGAAATGATGTATTTGATGTCTTCGTTAAGCTCGTAAGGAGCTGAAGCTAAGGTTTCATGCAAAGAACTTTTTTCAGTACTCTCGAATACATGAAAAATCGTTGAATCTTTCACAACCAAGCCAATGAAGGGGATCAGATTGTCGCTGTTAAGACGAAGGGCGTTGAACAGGCGTTTGCAGGTGACAAATTGCAGGTTCAACGGGTTCATCGTGGACTCGCTTCCAACCATGAGCACTTCCTTGCCACGAAAACGGCCTGAAGCGACGATGTAAAATTTCCAGTACTGCAGGGGGTTGAAGACTGAATTGGTCGTATTGGGAGTACTTCGGACCGTCGTGCGGCTACTGGAAAACGTAGTACTCCGCTTCTGCCCTTCGGCAAGGTACTCCCAAAACTTGATGTCGTTCTCCACCAGTATCCAGCTTTTCATTTTGTACGCGCTGATAACCTTGTATCGGTTATAAATGGCGAATACCAAAATGGACAGTACGACGACAGCGAAGCACACACTAAAAACCAGCGGGATCATGATCTTGTCTTCGTTGTCTGGCGTCTGTTGCCACAGGTTTTGCACCAACGAATGAATCAGCTTACCGTTGCAGCTGACTTGTTTCAGAATGTACTCATTGATGTACGGTCTGGCGCTGATGCTCAGAGGCACGAGGTCAAAGTTTTCCGCCGTTCGCCAAGCGCTGTCCGATCCGATGGCGTCCAGAAGCAGGTCGAAGAATTGCGCCACCTTTGAGCAATCTATGACGCTGTCGTCAATCGTCCTGTTGATTGGCAGACGAATGAAGTAGCTAAGCGGATACGACTCGGCGATGTCAACGTAGCTGAGGTTTGAGGGAAGTGCGAATTCCGTACGCTGTATGGCGTATTCGATGGCGGCTTGAGTGCCTCGTAAGATTTTCTTGAAATGAATGGTCGCATTTGCCTTGTTCATCAACGCGGCCACCCTGTCCTTCGACAGCACGTCATAAAATATGGGCAAATACGTAACTGAGTTAGTAATGGATATGAGGGCTGGTCCGATGTCTTCTCCGGAGAAAAACTGAATCTCTGAAGTGCTACGATTCCACGTTCGACTCCAGAGGCCGTTCTCTGTCACCATCGGCTCGGAAAAGACCCCTTTCGATGATCTCCAGCTGTCATCGAATTCTGACAAGAAGCTGGTAAACACCTTCGTTGTGATGCTGCTATCCTGGCGTGCCAGAGGAGTGATCTTCGTATTGGGCAGCGACAGAGATGGGTTCAAATTCTTCAAACTATGGTCGTTCCATGTCTGAATCCTGCCACTGAAGATTCCAGCCATCACTTCTCCATCAACCACTAGTGAATCAATGGTTGGTAGGTTGTAAGCGACAACAACTGCACTAAAAATAAAAGTTTAGTGAGGCAATGGTAATTAGCAAACGAAGGAAAGTTTATGAACATTAAGTTAACGAGTATAATTTGATCATACCGACACCACCAGAGCAACTTAAACGAAGAATCCAAGAGCTGAACGACACCAGCATCAAAGTAGGACTGGAAACGAATCTTCAGAAGACTCATATCATGCTCTCTGTACATCTGACCCCGCGACCTGTTGAACTCAAAAAACTTAGACTCGATCGGATATGAAACAACGTCTAACCGCGACACCTCATCTCTGCATTGGAGAACTACAATGTGAAACC